TTCGTTATGCAACGGAGAAGTTGAATGCTCAGCCGGAGTTTTTCGCCTCTCTGGTCCCTGTTGTTATAGAGATTCTAGTAAGTAATTTGTGAGAGTTCCTTGACTTCTCCGTCCAAGATTTGCTGGCAACAACTCAAGACTAACCCGTTCAGGGTGACACATTCCCAGAACTTCGCCGTGATCCTGAAACAGTTCGAGACATTATCAACGATGAAGAGAAGCAGTTCCTGAAAACATTGGTCCGTGGTCGCAGACTGTTCCAGCGTGCAGTTGCAGGACTAGGAACTGATGAAAAGACATTCCCTGGTCAGTCACATTTTGCTAGTACTTTTTTACTTGTTTTTACTTTTCCTCGTAAACTACATTTATGAGAACTGCATATTTTTTTGATCCTCACCTGATATTCCACTGTCAGTGATGAACATCGTTTCAGGTGATGTAGCCTGGCGTTTATACGACACCTATGGATTCCCTGCCGACTTGACACAACTTATGGCTGAGGAGAAAGGGCTGACTGTCGATCAAAAGGCTTTCGAAGAGTGCAGAAAGAAAGCTGTGGTTAGTTGTGGGGGTATCATCCTAAAGTTGAGTAAGAAGTATGGAGCTCATATGAAGGCAGTGGGTGCACTTGCTTGGGGCGGGCGGTTGTTGCCAGCGTCATTGGTGGACGAGGTGCGATAGGGCATTTGGCTCCACCCACCCAGCCTTTCCACCAATGACGCTAGCGACAGCCGCCCGCTCCCAGCGATCGTGCCTGCCTTTAAAAGTTTTAATGCTGATCTGACTCGTAGTTTTCCTAAATACGAAATGGTCTTTTCTTAATCACGATGTATACTGGAAAGAAGCTGAGTAGTACGAAAATAACTCCGTTAGTAGCGGTAGTTCCAAAATGGTAGTTCCAACAAAGAATTTTTTCGCTTTTTCCTCAGGAGTTATCGGCTGCAGGAACTGGAAAGTTCCGTGATACGCTCGATCTTGATGTCCATGCACTTGCTGAAGCTCCAAAAGCGAGGTATCCCTACCACGGACGATTCGTTCAAATACAGGTACAAGGCTGAGGGACCTAATGACGGAACTGTTAAATACAGTGAGTTTTTTGGCTTTCATTCCTGATAACTTGCGATACATCAAAGTTTCCAGCATTCGAGACATGTACCGGGAAGATTCTTGCCATCCGTTGTGATGGTAAATTTGTCGATTCCATAGAAGCTGGTGTTGAGGGTGCTCTGTTGCTTGACAAGACGAATTTCTATGCAGAACAAGGTGGACAGATCTATGACACTGGAGTGTTGATCTCGGCAGACGATGAGGTAATCATGGCGAATTATTTTTTCCTTCTGCCTGGTTCAAAGTCCTCCTTTGACGTTAGTCCGCGTTCATACTTTGCGTCAGCGTTTTGAGCGTACGGAGCGTTCCGAGCGAAAGCCTACGTATCGATCTGTCGTACGCCAGCGTACAGCAGCGGTTTGAACGTACGGCAGCGCATGTCAGCGTACGCCAGCGTTTCGGGCGTTCTGCGGGCACTTACAACTTTTCGCAGGCATTCGCCGAAAACGCTAAGCTATACACTGCGAAACGCTATACGCCCTCTAAGACGCTGACGCAAAGGCAGCGAATGTTGTTACAGTCGCGTTCTTCATTTATTTCTGTCAAACTTGCCCCTAAAACGCTATTTACAGGGAACGGAATTCGTCGTTACGAATTGCCAAGTTCGGGGTGGATACGTTGTTCTCGTGGGTTCAACTAACGGAGTGTTGAAAGTAGGAGACACTGTGGAACAAGTCTTTGATGGAGTAAGTTGAAAAAATAATATGTGAAAAAGTAGCATTGTTTGCTAACCTAAGGCATTGTTGCTAACTAAGTCTTCCAGGAACGTTCGTGCAACAGTCATTATGAAAAATCATAACCGCCACTCATTGTTTCTTTAGATCACGCTCTTCGTTGTGTGTTGACCGATTCCGATCAGAAAGGATCTTTAGTTGCTCCGGATCGACTTCGATTTGATTTCACGAACAAACAGGCGCTATGACTATCAAGCAGGTAAGCTGCTGTTGCTCTTCTCGTGCTGAGGAATGACTTGATTATCCTATGTCCACCAAGTACAATCGGTGAATAGAAGCAGAAGAGATTAGTCGGCAGTCCACTCATAGACCCGATGAAACCCGTCTACGCAAAGAAGCCCGCTACCTCAAGGCTCCGGTGAAATTACTGGATGAGAAGCTATGGTCGATGAGGTTACGCGTCGACACACCTTTCAAAGTTCGAGTAGGTTCAATTCCTTGAGTTTTCCGTTTATAGAATTACCCTGATCCGGTTAGAGTGGTGTGCGTCGGGGTACCCGTAGAAGAACTTCTGTCGAATCCGAAGAGCGGTGCTGGTTTGAAGACAACTGTAGAGTTCTGTGGTGGGAACGTGAGGTTTCTTTAGAGGATGAAAGTGGCTAAAATGGGCTAAAGCTCTGGCTTCACAGGCATCTTCACAACGTTGGACATATTGGGCATATGGTGATTTCATCCGAAGAGGCTATTGCTAAAGGAATTCGACGAATAGTAGCACTGTCAGGACCAGAAGCCGAAAGAGCATTACATCGTGCAGAAAGATTAGCAGCAAGGACTCAGGTGAGTGACATAGGAAAAGGCCGCATTTCTTTGGTTCTCACAATGAAATTCTCTTTCTTCTACATATTTTGTGCCTCTCCTTTTCTTGACTCACTGGTTGTTGAAAGTTTTACTCAGAACTTTAATATGTAATTCCTTGAATTTCACTGCAACAGCATAGTATTTGTTCAGCTTGTTTGTAAAAAGTTGCGGTAAATCCTTTGTTTGCTTTTCAGGCCCTATCAGATGAAATAAAAGCAAATACGAATTTAGCCATGGATTCCGAAAAGTTCAAAACGACGTCAAAGCAAATACAAGAACTGATAGATGTAAGATTCAATTTATCATCTTTTGTTGCATTTTTAGATCAGTTAAAGACAAACTGTACTTTTACCTCGGAGAGCGGTCCTTCCCATTCGCAGGCGAATGAGTCCGCAGCTGCAGGAGCGTCCACTTTCTCCGCTCACAAGTATACAGGAACAGGATTGCAGGGGAGTAGTACCCAAATGCCGTCTTCATACTCCGCCCCCGCTCTCCTCAATGACGGCAGTTTAGTCGATACCAAGGTCTCGCAGCGAGGCACGCACTCAGCGGTAGAAGAGAAGGTGAATTGAGAGGGCACAGGTAAGTAGTGCGTCTGGCTATGATTAGGAGTGTGGCTGTTCGCGGGCG